GGGGTTTTAGATCCTTAGGAAATCCCTTTTCTTAATACCCTTATTCCCCTTTCATCCGGAGCTGCCGTAACTTGGGCTCATCATGCTATACCCGCGGGGAAGGAAAAAAGAGTAGTTTACACTTTAGTAGCTACCGTTTTACTGGCTCTAGTATTCACTGGCTTTCAAGGAATGGAATATTATCAAGCACCCTCCACTATTTCGGATAGTATTTATGGTTCTACCTTTTTCTTAGCAACTGACTTTCATGGTTTTCAAGTGATTATAGGTACTCTTTTCTCGATCATATGTGGTATTCGCCAATATCTTGGTTATCTGACCAAGGAGCATCATGTTGGCTTTGAAGCAGTTGCATGGTACTGGCATTTTGTAGACGTGGTTCGGTTATTCCCATTTGTCTCTATCTATTGGTGGGGAGGTATATTAAGGAACGAATCAGTGGATTGAGGAATGAAAGCTCGAAGACAAAGAGAACCAGGCTTTTCCAAAGAATTACTGCAGCTTTCCCACTCCCTTTGATTATCATATACAAAAAAGTCTCTTCCACTTTCCTACCAAATCTCTCTCTATTCTGGCACATAAATGAAGAGATCGAAGAGATTATGGCAGATCATGTTCACCAAGAAATTACTCGAAATTGGATCTTAGTCTATTTGAGATTGTTCCTTTTAATCGTAATCAAAGATGTTTTCTTGTCTCTCGTTTCTTTTCTGAACAAATCGAAGAACCTAATGAATCGAACTTGAACGTAGCGTGGCCAGATCGCCCTGCCGGGGTCGCTCTGATGCAAAGGGCCCTGAGAAATGCAGCAATCCGGTAGCAGATCCTTTAGTAGGTGATGGGGCAAAGAGTTCTCTGGTCCCTCTTGGCAATAGTTTCTTATGTTCTGCCTTATATATATATAGATGTATATGTGTGTGTATATATATACACAATTACATCCACAAAAAAAAGGGTGCAGAGAAAGAGGAAGAGAAGAGAGAAAAGAGAAAGGAAAAAGAGGGGAAAAAAAGGGAAAAGAGGAAGAAAAAGAAGGAAAAAAAGGGGAAAATTTTGCCAATGTGTTAGGAATTAAGTGTTCTATCCTATTAGAATTGAATTTCTCAATTTTGAAAAATAAGTAAAAAGTTACTTATTGTCAAGTTATGTTTGATTTTATAGTTGTTAGATTGTTCGGTTAAATTTAATTTTATTGAAGGGGTTAAGTGTAATAAACTATGAAATTGAGTAAAATGAAAGAAAAATTAATTTTAGTAATTAAAGAGATTTCAGAAATCGCCTAAACGTGAAATAACTATGTTTGGGTATCGCCTATTTAATTATTGAAATTACTTAAATTAGTTAATTGTTGATTTAAAAATTATATTATATTTTAGGCGGCGATACGGATATCGAGATAGCGTACCAATCGAATTGATTTTGGCGTACATAGTTCTGTGAGTGGAAAAATATAAATATTTTTAAAATATTTATAAATTAATTATATTGTTAAACTGTGCAATTATGTGTTCGAATTACATGGTTATTATGGAAATCTCTTTTATTATGACACATGTGAAATATCAAAGATTATTTATGGCATATTTGTGACTTGGTATGTAAGACATGTGATATTGAGATTTGTTTGGTATGTCAGACAAGCAATATTGAGATCGGTCAGAAAAGTACCCATGATTATATACTTTTTTTAGTTCACAAGGGGCCTTGGCCATATTCTATCCTACACGGAGGGTCTTGACCTGACATTGGTCTTGATCGTGTACACATAGTTCACAGAGGAGCCTTGATCATGTTCTAGAATTGATTATGAGAGGTCTTTGAGATCGGCTTTCATTCACGGAGGGGGCCAAAGGCTCGTGGCGAAAGTTCTTAGCCCGAGAGGTGGATTACATAATTCAGTCAGAGGGTACATTTTTTTTTTGGATTTTTCAGCACGTTTGATGTGATAAGATTATAGCATGGTCATCAGCTGATGTTATATCATGATTTTAAGATGATATTTTTATGACCTTATGTGAATATTTCACTTTTTGGCTATAATTACATGATGGTAGTTTGTGAATTATCAAATGATATGAATTTGATTTTCAATAAAAATGTATATATTTTTTTTAACTTCTCCACTTACTAAGCTATCAATTCATATATTTTTTCACATTTTTCCTTATCAGGCAGCAGTTGAGAATCTGGGAATCTTTTGGAGTTAAGCCTTGATTTTAGAGTCAGAGCCACACGACAGAGTTTGTTAGTATGACTCACTTCATAGAACACATAGTCAGTATTTTGGGACGCATTTTCACATCTACATGTGATTTTACATCACTTGTAGATAGTTATGGGCCTCATTATGTATTTTGTATCCATATGTATATTTCATTTTATTTCTTGGTAAAGGTTGAGATTTCGACTTATCTTTATTGTGTTGTGCTATAGCTTGGGATTTGTGTGAAATTGATCACAAGTTGGTTAGTCTTGTTTACAGGGGAGATAATGCCGAAATTTTGTTAGAAAAATGATTTATAAAAAGTGATATATTGTATTTGTAGTAGTCTTGATGGTGGGTCCGACTTTTAGTTGGTATCTATCATCGGCGCACGCCACGTCCGGATCTAGTGGTGTTACACGGGGCGAGATGTGTCAATAATAGAATATAAATTTGAAAATATTATAGCACGGGAGGTACATAAACTACTTGGCTGGTGCCAACAATTCATCACGGAAGAAAAGAATCAGAAGTCGAAAATCATTAACTAAATCTAACATAATATAATAGAAAGAACTATCTTTTCTTTTCTCAATCCTACGCAATTGAAATTGCCCTTTTAAACTGTATCAGTCAACTAAATCGATGTTATGCTTATTCTTATAATAAATGAAGATACAATTTTACATATCATGTTCTAGTTTTATGAACTTAAAATTCTAAAGAATATGAAGTTGTAACATATGTTCATGTAAAAGTGGCAATATTGCAAATTGCCAATATTTTTCATTTTACTTCTTCTCCCATTGTAAATAATTTTTTTTTTTTTTTAATTCCTCTTAGCACCATTTTTTATTAGAAGTTCTTTTTCTCAAGACTTAAAGTTAACG